AAATTGTTTATGACTATGAAATTTGGACAGTAAGTTAATTTTATAATACAAAAACCCCCTAAGTMTTAGGGCCTAAGACAGGATTTTTCAAAATTCAACCACTACAATAGTTAAAAGGGGTAAAAATGAAAAATTGTGTAGCTGGAACCATGAACTGAAGCTATAGTGTAAAATTTAGTCATTAGATTAATTTTATGATGCAAAAAACCCTAAAGAAAGGATTTTTTTTTAATTATTTTAAAGTGTTTCTAACATACAAGGTCATCGAATTTATTGATAAAATAAAATTTTTTAACATCATGAAGTTGTTAAGCGTAAATTAATTACAATATATACAGTAAATTACAGTAAATTACAAAGATGAATAAATAAATAATAAAATATGACATCATAATAATTAGTTAATCTAAGTGTATTTTTTTTTTTTGTAGGGATTTTTTAAAACTTCAACCTCTATATAGGTTAAAAGGGTTATATAATATAAAAAAAAAAGAAGTGAACAGTTTGTTTGGTATAATCTTTAAAAATACTTAACCGATCTTAAAATGTTTTACCATTAGAAAACTACATTATTATACCATGAATCTATAGGCTATATTATATCTTAATAGTGGCTCTTAATTCTTTTATTGCAAATTTGAGATTTTTCATAGAAATAACATAATATCTAATATTAATAATTAGTAATTTATTATTAGGTATCAATTTTTAAAATTGTATCACCTTTACAAAGCTAAAAATGTGGGAAAATATTATGGTTGAATATAATTTTAGTCCTATATTTTATATGACTGTTTAAAAATCTTTAATAGAGATTAACATAATATAGTAAATCATGGGAATTCATCACTAGAAGTTTTGAAAATGGCTAGCCGGGTATCAAACGACGAATTAAAAAACAAATTTTGAATCATATAAAATAGATATTTCTAATTAGAGATCAGCTAGTTAAAAATATCATCACACTTGCAACATAAAATATTAATTTAAATATCAAGTTGTATGATTGACCTGGTTTTATATTGTAAAATGCAAATCAATACATTTTTATACTTACATATATATTAATATTTGATGCTTAGAGCTTACAATATTTTTCCCTTTAAACTCAGGAATGTGGATTATTTCAGACTCAGAGAGTTGAAGTACATCTGAATGGTTACCAAAATAACTCATAGGATGGAGAGATACAAATGGTTTACCTTCAGTATGAAATAAATGTTCCTTAGTAGTCTATAATAAAAATAGCAAAACAATGATTAAGTAGAACTTTAAAAATACAAAAGTATGAATCAAAATATTTAAAATAAAATAGTATTTTTGAAAATTAATATTAATTTTTTTAACCTTGCAAGAATTGAACTCATCATTAATTGCTATATGAGGATACAGTCCACTACTTAAAATTATTTTTAACATCATTAAGTCTTTATAACTAATTGCAGTAGATCCTTTTAATAGTTGCTAAAATAAAATGTTTTGTTAATTCAATATTTTGGTTTTATAATGTAAAATGTGTAGTTTTTACTTTGACTTGTCGCTGATTATGTCGCATCCTAAAATCTATATCTCTTATATCAACTGAATCATCTTCAGCATCTAAATTGTCCTCAATTTCCCACATATCCTTTTTTAATACTTTTCTTTTTCTTGAATCTTCCTCTTTATGTGTTTTTTTCATATCACGTAACAGTTTTAATTCACCATATCTAAGGGCTCTTTCTGCACTAGTCATGTCATCCATATTTTTTTCTTCATTTTTCACTAAACCACATTCCTAGCATAAAACAATTGAACTTTAATTTTAATTTCAAACAAATTACAGTAAAATTGCAGTATAATATTTACATCCAACAAATCTTTAAATTGTCGCCGCAATTTAGTCATCTCATAAAAACGTTGTTCTTCAAAACCTCGCCTCTTGCACCATTGACGTGTATTGGTGTTTTGACCATCACTCTTTAACTCTAGCCATTGCTTGAATGCATTAAGTAGAATAATTGGATCACCATGATCAGATTCTAAATCCATTCTAGCTCTCTAAACAAACAAAGCCATTATTATTCGTATTAATATTTAATTTTATTATTTAACTGATTATACTTCGCATTCAGAATCTTTGTATGCTTTATTAGTGAACGGTGTTTGAACTGATAGAACACATGCTAATGACAATACAGGTTCCAATTGATCAAACAATGATCCCATTATTAACATTTTACCAAGCGGTATGTCAACTGGAAGTCGTGATAACATGTTTCCAATAGGGGTCAACCTTTCTTCTTTTGTTAATGCCCCCTAAAATAATTGTTTTTATTTAGTAATTGTACTTAATATTTCAATGGTAATTTTATTTAGTAAATTAGGATTTGATAACTTATATAGTTGTATCATATTATATTATATTATATTATATTGTTCTATGGTTGTATTCATTCTAAATGTTTGACAAAGATAGTAACGGCACAACATACTATCATCATATACCTCTGAAAATAACTATTTAACCACCATAGTAAAACAATCAGACTAATAAAAATATACAACAAAGGATAAGCCTAACATAATAAAATAGATGTATAATTTTAATGTAGACATAAATTATATGTTTCTTAGCTTACATGTTGTTTCAAGGATTCTATTGCATTTTCAATATTTTCTGGTTGTGGTGGTTCAATAAATGGAAATAACCGAGCATTAGGCAATCCCATGGCTACCATTTGCAATAACAATGCATCTAGGGGTACTTTTTGTAGCTCTGGTGTACTATAGTCTGCCATAGCATCAAATTCATCTTCAGAATACAATCGATAGCAAACTCCTGGACCAGTACGACCTAAGTGAAGTATGCAATGTAAAAATAAAATTTTAATTGAAATAATATTGACAACATGATAAATACCAGCTCTTCCTTTACGTTGGTCAGCACTTGCTTTGCTCACCCAGAATTCCTTAAGTCTTTGCACCTTACTGGTTGAATCATAGCTCATTTCTTTCACCTTTCCAGAATCAATGACAAATCTTATACCATCAATAGTGATTGAAGTTTCTGCTATGTTGGTAGATACTATACATTTTCTAGTACCTTCAGGTGCATAATCAAAAACCTAAATCAAACAAGCAATATTTTATCCTAAAATTTATCAGTATTTAATAATTGTATTAATAGTACCTTATCTTGTTCTCCCAATGACATTGAACTGTGCAAAGGAAGTATAATCCAGGTATCATTTTTTTCGCAATATATTCTTGCTGCATCTACTACTGCTGTGATTTCTGCCATACCGCTTAAAAACATAAGTACATCCCCTCTTTCATGTTTAGGATATTTTTTGTCAATCATTTGCATAATTTTTATAAAAGGAGATGGATCAAAACGTTCTGATTTCTTCCCTAGTACTTTCATTTCGCTAATAATTGGATGATATTCTAACTTAATAGGATATAAACGACCTGGTACCTATAAAAACCACATTTTTATTAACTGACATGTTAAACCTTTATAGTTAGCTTAATAACTAACATGAGGTCCTTAAGCTATACAATTTACCTGTATCAATTTGGCTAATGGAGAAAAGTATTTGCTAAACAGCTCTACATTGATGGTAGCAGACATAAGAACAAGTTTAACATCAGATCTTTGATGTAATAAACATTTCATAACACCTAACAAAAAGTCTCCATGTAAATGGCGTTCATGTATTTCATCCAAAACAATAACATCATATTGTGATAATAAATCCTCTCCACAGACCTACATAAATACATTAAAAACAATTATTGTTTCAATGATTAAAAAATATCAATATATTTATGAATAATCTATAACATAGTAACCTGTCTTAATAATAATCCTTCAGTTAAGAACAAAATTTTTGTGTCCTTGTTAACTGTTTTTTCAAACCGAATTTGATATCCTACATCATTATTATAAACGGATAATGATTCATAGGCTACTCGCTTTGACAGTGATATGCATGCAATACGACGTGGTTGGGTACAAGCTACAATAGATTATTTGCATGAAAAAAATCTTATATAATATTATCACAATTCATATCACAATAAATGTACCTATTCTCTTAAAACCTGCGTTTGACAAGTATTGAGGAATCTGGGTAGATTTTCCACACCCAGTATCTCCAGCAATAATTACAACTCTATGATGTCTTACTGCTTCAATAATTTCATCTCTTAAACCAAAAAGAAATATGTAAGCGTTAATTTCATAATTATTATTAATATCTCACTTGAATTGATATACTGGTAAATTCTGTTGTGTTTCCCTAAGTTTTCTCAACTTGTTGAACTTTTCTTTTTGCTTAAAATCCATGTACATAAGAACCAATTGACGGAACTTAAATATATCTTCTTTGGTTAAAGGTCTTTTTTCATAAGCTTCTTCTTGATCGTATGTAGGTAACCTTGAAGCTAATTCGTCATCAGAATAATACATTTTCAAGTTAATTAAATGCATTTTGTCAAACACTTCTGGAAGCTCAAGGGGGTTGGAACTTAAATTAGCTACAACAGAATTATCATTGGTCGTCTTTTTCATAGTAAATGATTCAAACTTTTTTACAAAAAGCCAAACATCATTTATGTCTTCAACTAATTCTTCATTGAAAAATACTTTTTCCAAAATACGTTTATAATCCAAAAAAGTAAAAGGTCTTTTAGAAGTTTTTTGGTGTTTTGAATTGTAATTTTCATCATTAGGGTTTCTTCGTTTTTCACGATACATTTTTCATAAGTTAATCCTGTAGTATAAAATAATAAATATATTGAATCATTTATATATTAATGAAATAAGAAATACTAAAATCATAATTTTATAATAAGTTATATTAATGCCTCCTCCCTTCATCCACATCATACTTCATAGTCCAATACCTATACATAAATTAAATGCTCATATTATTAAAACTATAATTATTTATATTTTTTGAGTTTATACAATTGATATTATTTACACAGTACACAAATTAAAATATAATGAATAAAACCAATAAATTCTAAAGACCTAATTAAAATTAACAAAACAATCATTATAACTAGAGTTAAGATTTTAAGTTATATAAAATGGTAAAATATTCATTTAATTTAGTTGAAGATAGATATGCTAGAGTATGCAATAAAATTACAATAAAATATGCACTGAAGTTACCAATAAATTTCCAACTATCATTAAATAAAAGAGAATTATCACACAATTTCAAAACTAATTGAATTAAGTTACATTTTATGTAATCTAATTAATTTTCATTAGTCTTACTTTTGAATAAATCCATATCGTTTTTACATTTTTTCCTCAAAGGCAAAAACACTTATAGTATTTAATTTAAATCAGGAGAGTAATGTAATGTTGCATTTAGCGTTTTACTCTATGATTGTTTTAATGTAGCAATARACATGAGTTAATCAAATATATGGTTACAATATCCAAAATAAAAAAAAAGATTTTTTACATAAGAGACATTTAGAGGACAATTAGCTGCAAAAAAAAAGGTATAACAATTCATACAAACCCTATCCCTTAATATAACTAATAAATATTTKTTAGAATAATTTATAAACAAAATTGGTTAATTAATCATATACAGGAATCAAGATTTGTCAGCAATTGAGGTTTTTAAAATAACAATATATAATAATAAGTAATATTATATAAACAGATTTATTTGTAATTTAATACATTCATTTTAAACAAKTATCACAACTATTAAACTATAATATATTTAAATATAAATTATAACATGATTCAATCATAGCTATTTTGATGTAAGTCACTAACTTCGTCCAAAATATCCTCGACAACATCAGTTTTTGAAGGCAAAGCGTTTGTAAATAAGTTACCTAAAAATAATAATATAAAATACAATTAATTTTTATTTAAAGCTTAAAAGATTGTCAATATACTATTTATATTCTCTTTCTGAATCACGCGCAACACAACAAATTTACGTTTAGCAGTACCAACTTTGTGTTGTAACTTTTAATATTAAAGTGAATTAACCTACTATCTAACTAAGAAAATTGCACGTGTTCCTACCACTTTCTTACTYCTATATTTTAATTATTATGTAAATTATGACTTTATTAGCTTGTAAGTGATCACAGTTTAAAAATGCTTAAAAATTGTATAATAATTAAAATATCATGAAAAACCTACGTAGGTTCTTAAGTCCAGGAACCAAACAACTTTTGTTTTGTACTCATAGCTGTAATATTTTGCAAATCTTTAAAATAAATATTTTACCGGTCTCAATATTACATTGATGAMTTTTTCAAGCCAGAAGTGATTTAGAAGTGCTTTAGCTTACTGTTTGATAAGTTACACATGGRTCAGAAAGATAAAACAAATGGTGTACTGGCATCCTCTAAATTGGATCATAACTTCTTATTTTTAAATGTTTGGTATCATAAAAAATATTTTAACAAATATAAATATCATAAGAAATTTGTTGGATTTAGAAGTTTAGAAAACTATTTRACTGTATCAATATACAGTGGTATGGTACCAAGTTGGTACTACCAACTACTTATCAAAATTAATAGACACAGTAGTGCACAACATCAAATAATCATTATAATTGAATGTTTATTGATTTTATATTTATGGATTTAACATTCAAGTATGAAATAAAAAAGTGTCAGTTACCAAATAAACATTTGGAAATGTTAATAAAATTGTTTCGAAGTTGGCAAAATAAAAATTGCATAAAAAAAATTTTAGTCATGATTRAATCTAGATTTACTAAAAAAAATTGTTGAAATTCATCAACTCTTAATTTTAACCAAACAATAGATATATCCATTTATCAAGTATTAATATGTTATATTTAAGAGGACGCCACACCCGCATGTGTTGTCTTCGTCGTACAAGTACGTAGCATAGCAAATTTTACGCTCAGCAGATCACGTTTATCTCCGTTATTTTAAAATTTAGAGTGAATTGACCTATAAAAAAAATTAAAGGCAAGATTATTACCTAGTGCATCTCATAGGCTTTTTATTATATTTTAATTTTAAAGCGAGTAATGAGTATTTTAAAATTGTAAATAATTTTTATATCTAAAAATACTCATAACTCGGCTTAAAATTAAAATATAATAAAAAGCCTATGAGATGCACTTGGTAATAATCTTGCCTTTAATTTTTATAACAGGTCAATTCACTCTAAATTTTAAAATAAYRGAGATAAATGTGATCTGCTGAGCGTAAAATTTGCTATACTACGTACTTGTACGACGGAGACAACACATGCGGGTTTGGCGTCCTCTTAAGACAATAGTCTTTTTTCAACAGTTTAAAAAAAAATAGTTAACATACATAAATTACACCAAGAGTTTATGTTTATTTATTATTAATAATATCATTATTAATTTTATTACAGTAATAAAATGAAACTGTTGCTTACCGATAGTATTAGGAGACATTTTTTCTACAATCACTTTGCACTTCCTGCGTGTATTTACTTGATAAACAGTATGTTTGTATGGTAATTCTAGAGTGGAAAAGTCAACATTGAGTCCTGGATTAATAGCTGGAAGTCCAGTATAAGGATGTATAAAATCAGCCCAATAACCAGCACTTTGAAGGCGATCACTTATACCAAAAGCAGCATGCAAATACTAGAAATTAAAAAATATATATATWTTTTAAATGAATATTTTAAAAAAATTAAATAAATAAGTATCTGAAATTTCAGAAATGCACTATTTTGAATATTATATTAGTTTATATTTTTACCTGTTTTGTTAAATTTGACATGTTTGTATTAGAGGTTTGCTTTAAATTGATTGTAATCATGCACAGATTGAAATTTTTCAAATGAGGTACATTAAATCGCTCTGTAATTTCTATGTAAATGAAAACAACAATAATAATTAATAAACAAATAAATTTAAAGAAACCAAATAAATAATAATACACTACATACCAGATTTTAAGAGAATTGGGCAGTCTTGAGTATAATAATTTAGTCTTGTGGTTATGATGCAATCCTGTAAACAATATTATAATATAAGATCATATAAAATTACAAAACATCTTYTATGTCAAAGGTATAAATTGGTGCTGGGAGTGTTTAGTCTATAAAAAGATTTTCCAACCCTCCTAAAACTGCAAAAATAATTTTAATATTTTAAATTTAAGAATAATGTCCATAGAAAATTGAGTATATAAATTTATAATAACCTTGGACCAGATATACATCATTAACCAAATAATAGAAAAAATTCAGGAATTTGACAAGGACCTCCTCTATATATAGTTATATATATTTCAAAGCCACCAACGATTCGGTTAATAGAAAAAAACCGTAGAATGCAAGGTACAAATTGAGCATATTTGAAAAACTTATAAAATGCATGTATACAATGATCAAAGTGCAATGTAAAGTTTGAAAACATTATGTCTGAGGACTTCGAGATAGTGTCAGTAGAATTWAAAAAAAGAGAACAGAGAAGAACTGACGAAGGATAAAAATTGATGTAGGCAAGTGATTKTTGCCTAAATAGTAAATGGCCAATAAAACGCCATAATATAAAAAGACATTTACACGTGGTACCCCTTCACACCTAATGACCTATGTTTCCGTGGGTTTTACTAAAAAAAAAAAGTTCAAGTACCATAAGTGTCTGTCATTAAACATTTATATTAAATACTGTTATTCTTCTTATTATTATTAATATGATTAAGTATTAAATATTATTATATAAAACATTAAATTAATACTAAGTATTTATAATTAACATTACTTGTATTGTAATTCATTGRAAAGGGTAAAGATAAAGAAGAGGGTCAAAAAATGTAGTTGTAGGCACTAAATGAAATTCAGGTCAGCACAAGCCTATAAATGTGTACCTACATAATCTTACTTTTGTAGATTTTATTTTATATACATACCAAATGTAAAACCACATGAATAGTGTTTTCATATTACTTTTTTTTAAATATTAAGAATATTAACTGACTTACCTCAGGTGCAATGCCCACATTGTTAGGTAATTTGAACTGGCTATCTTTATGTCTTGGTAGCAGTTGCCAATTAGGRTTTGTTCGGAATTCAGAATCTTCAATTTTCTATCATATGAACATTACAATTTGTAAATCATATTCAAATAATATGTATATAGGTAGCCATTTATGTAGATAAAATTTAAAAAGCAATTTAAAAAATKTATTTTAAGATGGAAAAATGTAAATAAAATATTCATTATAATAAAAATTATAACATAGAACAATTATAATGATTATCTATATTAAAAAATTAAATGGATAATAATTATTAATTACCTATAGGAAAAAAATCTAGTTACTTTCTTAAGTATATTCGCATTATATTAATATAATATAATAAAAATAATGATTATAGAATATTATAGTTGTTATTATTAGTAACACACTACAAATGTATTGAAATTTAAAATGATGGGAAGCAAGTTAAAAACATTAATTTTTTGGTTTACCTATTTAGTTGTAAAAATTACACAAAATTTTAATTTGTTGAAAATGTACTACTTTTGACAAATTTGTTTATAAAATAATAATAATGATATTACTTACCATAACAAGCTCATCTTCCTGCTCTAATAATTCTTCTCTTCTAACTTCTCTGTCGCGTCGAGATTTCCTGGAGTAGGCCCTATTAGCTAACACATAAACTATTCGTTTTGCATTGTTGCCCGGCTTCATTTTTAAACACGATTGCAGCATAACAGTGCACCTTTGAGTAGGGAGGAGGCAAATAGTTACTTATAGGTATACTATTAAGTATTCTAAATAGACATTGAACAGAATACAGGTAAAATGGGATTAAATAAATTATTCCAAACTAAGTAGAAATACCCACAAAACATTTCACGAGGAAAAATGAAATAAATCTCATACGGATATTTTGACTATGAAACACAAACAAACATGATAAGAATTTTACTTATGACCGAGTTAAACAAAATTATTGCGTTTCACTTTTGCTAAGACCTAATTTTAGTTGTTGTCTTTTGTTAAAACAAATTAATATAATATACAAACCTTGAAGCAGAAGATTGTAAACACACGCAAGAGCCTGCTATAGTTAACTAACAATATTTTTGATCATTTATCAACTATTTCTTAAGTGTTTTGAAACCATCTCGGATAAAATAATAAATTACGGCTTTTTACGTGTCAGCGCCACTGTCAGCAAAATCAAAATAAATAAAATGTTTTTRTGACTTACAAAGTTACAAAAGAACGTAATAGATGATAATGAAAATCTTTTATAGTGATTAGTGATTATGGAGGATTCATATCGAAATTCCTTTTACCATTAAACAATAACCACAATTAAATGTATGTGAATGATACCACCCGATAACCCTGATARGAATAAAAATAGCAGTATATTATATTGCGAATTTAAATCTATTTATATTGCTTACCGACTTCATTGGTTTTTCAACATTATGTTTGTCTACAATTCTACATAACCGACAGATCATCAATCGGCTATTAAATCTAATATTTTTATAAATAACCTGTATAAAGTCCCATAGTGTAAATAAATATATTTCTAAAATTAATGTKATCAGATATTATGGGTCAACGTGATCCATGCCTTGGACCTCACGAATTTRTATTCATTTCGGCCATCAAATTATAAAAAATTATATTGTAAAGGCCTCACCTAAAAAATTTGTTACAGGCAGTCTCTATAGAGTTTCTATACCTACCACCTACATGTGTGTAATACTAATACTACCCACAGACTCACAGTACTCAGAGGCAGGTAGGTAGTGAATGGAATTTCATGTCACCTAGACATTTTGATTAAAATTTGTTTTGGGGATTTGATACCTTTTATTTTAGATTCTGAGCGGAGCGATGAATGTATTGATTTTACCATGATGTGTGTTTTTATTTTATTTTTTTGTCTGTCATCACGTTTTGGGGCAGTAAAAATGCTTCGATTTTCGACTTCAGTACCTCGTTCGATCAGAAAGTGAATCTAGTTGGTATTTTGGGGGTCAAAAGTAAAAAAAATCTTAAATAATTCCGAAATAATCGGGATAAACAAACTAAAAATTAAGGGAAAAACGACGCACAATCAGTTTTCGACAAAATCGATTTTGGTTTTTGATGTAACTTTAAAAAAATGACCATAGATACATGAAATTTTCACCGAATGTTTATATAAGTATACTCTAAGTATACTCTATCCATCATGCAATTTTCAAAATTTTTCGACTTAATAAGTTGAACTATTCATAGGTATTTACAATTTTCGATTATTATTAGTTTTTTTAAAATTAATATCGATAAAAATTTATTTGTTGGGTAAAAAAGCTTGAAAATTTAATACAATTCTCTTAACATATTGTTATAATAGCAGTTGAAAAATATTAAAAATACATAGACCCGATTTTTTTTTTTATAAGCATTAAAAGTTCAAATTTTGACTAAATACGTAAAAATTACGGCAATGTTCAAATTATCGTAGATATAGAAATTCATAAAACTTTTTCCTTATATATCTAAGATTTGAAAATTTAATACTAGGCTCCTAAAATATTTTTACAACAGCAGTTGAAAAATAAAAGAAATGCAGTCACAATTTTTTTTATAAGCATTCAAATTTTAATTTTGACAACACGTAAAAATCACGAAAATTCGCAAATTATTTTAAGCTAGAAATGCATAAAAAATTTTCTTTTTAAAACTAAGATTTGAAAATTTTTAATTATCTATAATATATCCTAGACAGATAACTGTTTCCGCTTAGAATCGTTTTTCGTATATACAATGATACCTATCATTGCATTCAAATCTAACCTACCCTAGTCAGAGGTCCACCCACCCTCTAATGTACAGCAGTGCGATATCCACTTACCAGCTTTTTTTTATTTTTTATTACTGAAAATGAAAACTTAAAAATTGATAAAAAAAATGTCCGAAACATTCAATATAACCGATTTGTAAATCATCTTATTTCGAGAAAAATGTTTGTGGTAAAAAAAATGTCTAAGTTAGATGGCTGATTTTTTTTAAATATCAATATTCTCGTTAAGTACCTAAATTACGATCTAGTTTATGTTAAAAACATTATAAATTAAATAAATATAAATTTACCTTGGTGCATATGGTATTATTTAAAAATGTTCATATAAAATATTTTTTTTATATTATAATGATTCTAACATAAACTAGATCGTAATTTACTTAACGATAATATTGATATTTAAAAAAATCAGTAATTTAACTTAAATACATTTTTTTTAACATATACATTTTTCTCCAAATAAGATTTACAAATTGGTTATATTGAATGTTTCGGAAATTTTTTTATCAATTTTTAAGTTTTTATTTTCAGTATTAAAAAATTAAAAATAAATAACAAAAATGTAGTGCAAGTGTCCATGCATTAATTTTAAAATTTTTTTTTTTAAATATTGATTAGAACAAAAATTATTTAATTTGTCAGAATGTCAAATCTCCGTGAGAAATCCTGTATACAAGGTGTAACAGATAAAACTGACTTTTGAAATAACTTTTATTCAAATTATTATTTTTTATTGATTAATTTTTTTTATTAAGTGACTAGCGATACCTTTGGTATAATAATTTTTTTTGTTTTTGTTTTAGTACTGAAAATTAAAAATTCAAATTTAATAAAAACAATTTTGATGGCAAAAACATTATCTAAA